TGCTTAAACTTTTGCAAGCTGATTGCCCAAAAGTCTGATGCTTAAAATTTGAAGATCTCTTCAATAAATTATATAAGTATAAGATATTTAGTTATGTAGCTCAATCTTTAAACTACATTGATCATCCAACAAATTTTAGATTATACTAAGTCGCTACAAATATAGACTTTTTTCTGTTTAGTTCATATCTACAGGGACCAATATTACATTTTGAAAAAGTTGGACCTTTATCATATAAAAAACTTATTTTCAATATTGGACTCTTTAGTGAACCTAAATATTTATTAGAAAAGGACTAAATTTTTAATGATTTAGTAAAATCTTAATGAATGATAATATATTATCTTAATTTTTATCATATTATAATAATGAGATATTAATTTTCAGATTTAGTATTCATCCAATAATCTCTATGAATAATTTATTTTATATTATTTTAATTTTTTTTATTTAAATATGATTTAATCTGACGAGCTTCAAATTGATTGTTTGAATCAAGATCACAAAGGCTACGTTTAATAGGTGTGCTTTAATCTTTTCTGCAAAATAGGAAGATTATAGTGTTTATAATGTATTAAAAAGGAAGAACACTCTTCACACCCTGAGGATTAATATGAGATTAAAGATATGATGGAATATATTTAAGAGATTTAAATTAAATGTGATGAATTAATTTAAAAGTTAAGTTCATATGTTCAACTTATCGAGGAAGAATTTACTATATTGAAATAAGGATTACTAAAAAAATATCAAATACCAATCAATATTTTAAGGAAATTAAAAAATAAGTAAATCAATGTTGCTTTTGATGAAATATTGAAATTTTAAGAAACAAAAAAATAAATAACTTAAAATTTAGAAAAATGTACTAATGAGTTCATAAATGAATTAAAAAGAAATTATGCAGGGTTAGGAATAGAAGAATTAAATTATTTTGAATAATAAGATAAAATAGAACTTCAAAAAGCTGAATAATTATATAAAAAAGGTATTTCAATTAAATATATAAGGTTATAACCTACAAGACTGTAATAAGTATGATGAAGCGCTTAAATTCTTAAATTAATCAATAGCTTTAAATCCAAATCATCTACTTGCATTGTATTGCAAAGGTATTTTTTTGATAAATTTAGCTTATTGTTTAAGAATGCTCAGCAAATACAATGAAGCAATCATATGGGCTGATAAGGCCTTATTATTGGATCCAAAACATCTTGATTCATTATATGTTAAAGGTTTAAATTAAATTTATTTTAGCTCGATCATTATATTGTCTTCTAAAGTACACTTAAGCAATTAAATGGTGTGATGTAGGATTATCGATAGACCCTAATAATAAGAATTTTTATTATACAAAAGGTTTTTATAGAGGATAATTTAGTGAGGAGCTTAATTTCAAATGGTCAATAAAATGAAGCAATAATTATGATCGAGAAAGTTTTATCCATTAATCCTGAAGATGCAAACTATTTAAAACTAAAGGTTGGTTGAATCATTTCATTTAGGGTTAATCATTAATGAACTTAAAATAATATGATGAGGCAATCTCTTTTTGCGATAAGGCATTAAAATATGAAAACAATGATGAAATGATTTACTTTATCAAGGGTATATTTCTATCTAAAAGATTAGGAGAGTGCTTACAATTTTAATAAAAATTCGAATAAGCAATAAAATGTTATGATTAAGCTTTGTCAATTTATTCAGAAGATTTAACTATAAAAAATAAGAAAGGTATTTATTAAAATTAAAAAAAGCTGAATGTTAAAAATTTTTGAAAATGAAAAATAAATGAGGATTGATAATAAAATTAAAACAATTTAACTTCTTTTATTTAATTTAAATATTCTATTTATTCATATTTAATCAATATATTGTTCCAATATAAGCGAGAAAATTTTTATAAATATTAAAAGTTAAAATATTAAGCAGTAGAAGATTAATAAAAATAATATCATTTTAAATTAATAACCTATTTCATACCAATAAATTGATTTTTCATAATATTATTAGACTTCCTATTTAAATAAAAGACTTTAAGTAATAGTCTAAGCCATTAATTTTTATATTTAATTAATATATATATATTTTGCTTATTTATAAAATATATTTTGATAAATAATAGTCTTTCTATTAGAATATTTAAGATTTAAAAGTTTTCTAATTAAGTTTATTATAAATGATAAAATATAAAGATATTATTCGTTTCACCTAATTATATTTGTAATTCATATTGACACTAATAATTGAGCATGAATACATAAAACCTATTAAATTACAAAAGAAAGTGAGATATTTAAATTTAATTATATGTGGTTGAGGTATTTCAAATAAATTTTTTTGATATCCTTGATAATTTGCTGCTTTTTGGATCTTAAAATTATTATTCAAGGATTTTTACATCTACAGTATCAATTTCAATTATAGGAATTTTTTTTAAAATCTTTTAGAAGAAAAATTGGTTGTGTAGTTAATGAATTTAGAAAGAAAAACATTATTGAGAATGGATTATTTCTATAAAGATGATAATTAATGGAATATAATCTCTTATTTAAACATAATTGTAAATTTTTTATTATAATAGATTTAATATTCATATGAAACTTTTAATTATTTAATACTTACATTTTTTTTATATTCTTCTTATTTTACAAATAATTTTTTCGATTCGTGAATATCCGACAAAAGAGAAAATTTAACTTAAGTGAATTTAAAAACAAAATTATATTAGAAAGAAGATTGAATTTTATTGTAAAATACAATCCTATAAATTTTTAATTTGCGAAATTTGTTTTAAAGAAAAATAAAGGAATTCTAATAAAGATTTCATTTAATTTGGAAGAAGCAATAAGTGTTATAAATAATTTTAGAGAAGAAATTTAAGAACTTTGGATCCTTTTGTGAATGAGATTTATAGAAAATTCTAATCTATTGAATTCTATGTTAATTAATGAAAGATCAATTGTAATAATGTATTAAATTTGATTCTCAAATATTTTAAGTAATGGAATTAAAGTTTAGAATAAGTAACTTAGATAATTAAAATAAATGAAAAAGACTTTCTAAATATTTTTGACAATAGTAAGAGTAATGAGGAGAATTGAGTAAAAGATTTTGAATTATCAAAAACCTATGAAATAAAATAATTAGGGTATACTTCTTACCATAAAATTAAATACAAATAAAATAATATACTGATTAATAAATGAATTTGAATTTAGCTAACAAATGATCGATAGAGCAATAATAAGCTAAGAAAAGTGTCAGAATGTTTATATTGATACCTCAACTATAAAAAAAATAAATTAAAAGTATTTATAATTTTTATTATCTTTTTTTCAAATATTAAATTTAATTGATATTTATTTCTTCCAACTGTTCAAAAATAGACAATTATCATTAATTCTTTGCTCATAGATATATCACAAATGAGATATTATATTTTGCAATTTTAATAAATTAATTCAATAAATAAAAATATAAAAAACAATCTCATCCTGATATTCTGTGAATGAATATCATGTTAAACAGATGTTATTAAAAATTTTAGTAATTCTGGATTTATATCTTTAAAAAGACAAAAATTAATTATGATTGGGGATATCAATATCAATTATTTAATCAAAATCTTTCTATTGAACAAAATTTATTTAATTGATAATAAAAATGTCTAACACAGCTATTTAAACTTAATTTTTGTAATTAAATAAATAAAAATCTATGATTGAATGTATATTAACATTTTTTATTCCAAACGTATTTATTTTTGAATGGATTTCTTGCTCTCTACTGAGGAATTATACAGACATTCAAATTTTAGAATACTATAATTGATATCATATTGGAAGACAACTCTATTAGAAGGAACGAATCCTTTTGAAGAAAAAAACAAAAATATTTATTTAAATATTAATAATCTAAGTTTTACTATAAATCAAAGATTTCATTACAATCCTATGAGATTATTATTGAATCCTAATCTTAATAAATTGTCTAAAATTTACATTTATAATTAGTAAATTGAAGAAATTTCCTCTATTTTTTTTTAAATTTCAAACAATCAGAAAGAGAGAAGACTTATTTGGTTATTTCTATGATGTTTATTCTATACATTATCTAAATGATATATTTTAATAAACATTAAATTCTTCTTTTTCAATTAATATTTTTCTAAAGGTAGTTATTACCATTTTATTTATTTAAGCATTGATCGCAGAAAAGAGCATTTATTCATTAATAGCCTTAGCTTAAAAACCCATATCTAAAAATTTAGTTTATTTTCAATAAAAAAATTAATAATTTTTTGATCAGAAATTAACAGTTTATAAAAATAAATTCAATTTAAAATGTTTTCATTTATAAATTTAAATAAAAATTGATGAATAATTTTAAATAGTAAGGCATAAAATAAAAAATAGCTTAAAATGATTTGGATGCAAATATATCTTCANAATAAATTAATTCAATAAATAAAAATATAAAAAACAATCTCATCCTGATATTCTGTGAATGAATATCATGTTAAACAGATGTTATTAAAAATTTTAGTAATTCTGGATTTATATCTTTAAAAAGACAAAAATTAATTATGATTGGGGATATCAATATCAATTATTTAATCAAAATCTTTCTATTGAACAAAATTTATTTAATTGATAATAAAAATGTCTAACACAGCTATTTAAACTTAATTTTTGTAATTAAATAAATAAAAATCTATGATTGAATGTATATTAACATTTTTTATTCCAAACGTATTTATTTTTGAATGGATTTCTTGCTCTCTACTGAGGAATTATACAGACATTCAAATTTTAGAATACTATAATTGATATCATATTGGAAGACAACTCTATTAGAAGGAACGAATCCTTTTGAAGAAAAAAACAAAAATATTTATTTAAATATTAATAATCTAAGTTTTACTATAAATCAAAGATTTCATTACAATCCTATGAGATTATTATTGAATCCTAATCTTAATAAATTGTCTAAAATTTACATTTATAATTAGTAAATTGAAGAAATTTCCTCTATTTTTTTTTAAATTTCAAACAATCAGAAAGAGAGAAGACTTATTTGGTTATTTCTATGATGTTTATTCTATACATTATCTAAATGATATATTTTAATAAACATTAAATTCTTCTTTTTCAATTAATATTTTTCTAAAGGTAGTTATTACCATTTTATTTATTTAAGCATTGATCGCAGAAAAGAGCATTTATTCATTAATAGCCTTAGCTTAAAAACCCATATCTAAAAACTTAGTTTATTTTCAATAAAAAAATTAATAATTTTTTGATCAGAAATTAACAGTTTATAAAAATAAATTCAATTTAAAATGTTTTCATTTATAAATTTAAATAAAAATTGATGAATAATTTTAAATAGTAAGGCATAAAATAAAAAATAGCTTAAAATGATTTGGATGCAAATATATCTTCATTTCAATTTTAAGGATTATTTGCAAATGTTTAAAAATACAAGTATATTCAAGATAATTTAAAAATAGATTTCAGAATTAAGAGAAATAGCTATCAATGATAAATTAAGAGAAAAAATTGTTTTAATACAGTTTAATAGCCAAAAGTACAAAAAAATAGGAAGAAAATTGCTATGCTATCGAAATAAATTAAGATATGACTCTAATAATTTTTGGGTGTAATAATAAAATAAAAGTTAATTCATTTGATTCAGGAAACTTTAAAGAAATTTAAACTCTTGAAGGGCATACTGATAATGTAACGACATTAAATTTTTTGAATGAATTGAATAATATTATATCTGGTAGTGATGATAAATAGATAATTATTTGGTAATAAAATCAATAATAATTATGGGGTATATTGTAGATATTAGAAGGACATTCAGGGTAAATCAATTGTGTATTAATAAATTATTCACATAATCTTATTATTTCTTGTAGTTGGGATAAAACTATTAAATTTTGGATAAAATAGAATAATTGGAAATGTTATTAAACTATATCAGAGCATACTAGTGCTGTGTTTTAATTAAGTTTGAATGATGCTTAAAATAAATTAATCTCTTGTGGAATCGATCAATTTATTTTGGTGATGGAATATTCAAATAATGATTAATAATGGATTATTATTAAAAAAATTTGGACAAGCTTATAAGGAAATCGATTATGTTTTCTAAATGATAATATTTTTGCATTTTAACCAGACAATAAAGAGATTATTTAAATATATGAGATTAATAACACTAAAAAGCTATATGAAAAAAAAAATGAAATTGCTGTTTAAGGATCATATGATGGAAGTGTATTATTTCCTTAGAAATTTATCAAAGAGAAATCGATATTAGTAAATAAATATTACAAATTTATAAATTTAATAAAGTTGGATCATAATGGTCAGTTATTATAAAAATTTACAATTGAATTTAGCACATACGGTATTTTCGGTACAATGAGTTCTAATGGAGAATATTTAATAACTTGGAATTACAAAACAAAAGAAATCGAATTAAGAAAGCTTAATGATTGATTTATATCTAAAAATTTTTAATTTAGAATTATTATTTAAGAAACTTTATCAACTTTGATCAAACTTTTGTAATATTATTATGAATTAAAAAGTAGAAATTCAAATTTTTAATGATTTTATATTTCCAATTTTAAATATTTGAATTCAATTTTTGCAATTTCCTTGCTATATTGTTTAAAATTTCAAAATTTAGAATAACCCAGAAAATTAAGTACTATTTAAATATTTAATATTTATTTGGTCTAGAATTTTATTAAAATGGATTTAAAATATACACTTATGGTGAATATAAACTATAATTGATTAGTATTAATTGATAATAAAAACTATGAACCTTTTTTATTATTGATAAAGGATATTCTATTTTTTATTATTGATTTGCTTTGGACTGGAAAAAGGTGAAATATTATAAAAAAATAAAAACAACATTGGAACAGATTTTACCAAGAGGATTCTGACAATTTAAAATCTTTTTTGATTGAAAGAAACTCCATAATTAATAAAATAATTTAAAACGGGAAAAATATCTGTGTTTCAAATCAAAATAAATAAAAGTGTCAAAAATTTAAACTTTTCAGATTTATTTTCATAAATCTAATTTAAAATCTATTAACAGAAAAATATTTTTATCATTATTATTGCTTTTGCATTTATAATTAATTAAATTGATAGTACATTATGAATATTGATCATAAAAATATATTCAAATCATCTTGGTTGTAATAATAAACTACCACTAAGATTATTCATTTTATTAAATAAAGAATGTTATTCATTTTCTATTGTAATTTTCTTCATTTTGCAAATTCATGAATACGGGGTTTGGTAAAGCCTACATGACGTTATATTTTTTCAAATGAATCGTCATTCTAAGTACGGTTGGGGTTGGGTCAAAAGTGTCTTGAAAGTTGAATTGATAAAAACGGGGTTTTTGACAATTTTTAAAATATTTTTACATACAAAATCCAAGGTTTTGTTAAGAAAAAAATAAACAAAGGCCGGGGCCTAAAAGCACCTAGGCATTTTCCCTAAGGTTTTTGAGTGAAATTTACATTTTTTAACCAATATTCGTAACTT